AGGGTATCCCTGGAGGAAGAGGAGCCTCCGGAGTAATCTCTTGAGGTGAGGAGCTGGAGTCCCTGGAGCCGCGGCATCAGACAAACACACAGGCCCAGTGAGAGCCGCCGGCCACGCGTCCACCGGAGAAAATGACGCCCGATCGCTCCTCTCGACCGATCTTCTCCAGCCCCGCAGCGCGCGCGGCGACAACCAAGCAGGTCGGGCCAGCCAGCAGCCGGCCGCACTAGACAAACATGACGATCTCCCGCCTCCTGGGCCGGCCGGAGTGGTTGCGGACGGTTGCGGAACGGACGACACACAATTAGAAGGGCGGTGGGCAAAGAAGAAGAGTCATCGCGAGAGCGGCGCGCGGAGGCGGAGAGTGAGCCCACCTTCCTCCCCGCGCCGCGCACTTTCTCACACGCGTCCAGTGGGTCAAGAGCGCGAGAGCGGGAGAGGCGGGCGCGCTCCCGCCGGGCGGCCGGCCGGGCCAGTTAGCACTCGGCGACAGACAGGCGACAACAAGCGTAAGGCAAACAGCAAAAAAATAACATTTTGTCTTACTTAACTTTTTTTAGCAAGAGCTTTAACTGCGCAATATTCTGCTGGCGCGGTAAACGATACGCCGCGTCCCTTTCGCCAGCCGGAAGTACGCGAGACGGCTTGTTCGGACCTACCTGCCTGCTACACGCGGACGCGGCGGCCGCCGGGTGGTAAAGGCATGCACAGGCGCTGGGCGAGCAGTACGAGTGCCAAGGCCGCGCACGACCACTCCAGCCCGCGTTATCCGACACCTGTCCGCGGTGCAGTGCCCCGGCGGGGCTCTCGGCAGTACACCGCCGCGCTGGCAGGGAGGGAGGCCCCTCGCGGGGTAGCGTTGCGCCTGCGGCCCCCCTGGCCCTGGAGCCGGGGAGCGCGGCCCCCTTTGGAGAGGCCAGCGCAGCACCCTTGTAGGGGTGTAAGGCGTTGGGCCTTCCTGGAAGGGGCAGCACGCAGGCCCCTTTGAGGGGTAGCGTAGCAAAGCGCGGCGTCCTGAGAGGGGTAGCGTAGCATGTTGCCCTTGGAGTGGAGGGGTAACGGGTAGCGTGCCCCCCGGAGGGGTCAGCGCGCAGCCCCTGCAGCCCCTGCGGCGGGGCCATGAACGCAGGGGCGCCAACCTTGACCGTGAATTTGCATATCGTTGCCGGCCGCGGCCCGCTCCGCCCGCTCCGCCCGCTCCACGCCCGGGCTGCGGCCAGCTCCGCGGCGGCGGCGCGGCCGTCTTACGCAATGCGCCATCATCATAATCTCCTCCTCCTCCTCCCGCTTCCTCCTCTTCCTCCGACGCGTAAAACCGAGCTTATTGCTCTTTGAGGCAGCCGAGAGGCGCCCCGGAGCGGCGGCGGCGGCGGCGGCGGCGCGTCGTCAAGCGTCTCGCCGGCTCATAGAGTCGAGAGGACGGGGAGAGCCCAATCCGGGCGAGACAAGATTCCTGCTCACATCCTCTCACACCACAACGCCAACGCCACGAAAAAATGATAACAATTTTCGACGAGTTTGGCGCAAGGCGCGACGACCACGACGCACCGCCGCACAGCAGAATGGGGAGTTTCGCTCGATAAAATCCTTGTTCGTTTCTTTCCCGTGGAAGGCGCGCGTGGAATCAAATCCGCGGAGTTCTAGGCGCGGCGCCGTGCAGAGCAGATCGATGCTGCGATTGTGCATGGCTACGGAGGTTTGGAGAGGAGGGTTGGGGTGGG